TTTGGCTCCTCTTCAGGCACTCAACAGGTTTTTTTATCCCCTATCATTTAGGATTTTGGACTTGCAGACCCTACCACATGTATTGTAGAGTGATCCACATCTCCCATATTAATTTATAATTTATCAAAATTTCGTTTAACGGCTTAAAACATTAACGTTTTCTCCATCTCAGCAATCTTATAAAGTAGGCAATGTAAAGAAAACAGTGAGTTTTCTGTTTTTCTTTCGAGGAAGGAAGCTATGAAAATATTTTAACTTGATTTACACAAAACATCAACTTTTGAAATAGGTAATATCTTAAAAAGCTAGTTTCATCGGGTACATTATCAAATTTAAAGGAATCTATAGATTGAGAGGCATAATATATTCCTATATACACAATTCCTGGATTGGAATTTTTACTTTAAAAAAGAATTTGACAACTGGCAACACTGTTAACTCGAGTGAACCAGCAGAAAATTTACGTACTACTACAGAACGAATAAATTGCATACTCTTTCCTCGGAATACACAGAGTGGAAAGGAAAAAAATGAAATTTCCAGGTTTGTCGAAGAGTTATTGGAAAAAGGAAGTGATTGGATCGTGCTTAGGTGAATATTTCACAATTTTGGATTTTACTGTACTTGAATATATGCCAGGATTGACTAGATTCTATTATTTATGTCTTGGAAAATACAAATGCGTTTGGATTGGACGTACAGTACATGCCATATTCAGTCTAAAATCGTACATTCAATTTTAATAGTGTGAAAGTATTTGCAGCTGGATTTATACAACAGATCTTTTGTATTAGAGTAATCTGTTTGACATAAAAACATGACAAACGATCGAATAAAATATAACTATAAATTGTAAGTAAAAAAATGAATAATGAATACTCTATTAGTAACAGATTTCTTTAAACAATAATTATTAATGAGTAAATTATTAGCTTGCACCTTTAACTCTCCGAAAAACAATTACTGTGCGATTAAAACTCTAAAAATGCAATTAATTGTAATTTTTGTGTTAAATACACAAAAATTACAATTAATTGCATACTTATGATTTTTCTATAGAACTATTACTTAAATAGTAATAGTTCTATAGAAAAATCAAAAGTATTCGCCGATAATGTAAAATTAATAAATGAATTTATGAATGAGAATAACGCTATTTAATTGCAGATGCATAACGATAACTCACGTCTGCAATTTTTTAATCATAAAAATATTATTTATGAACATGTTTATTTTTTCGAATTTCATTCTAGTTAAAAAAGGATTTAAACTGAAAATTCCTTTTCTAAACTGATAAATGTGGCCTTTTGGGAAATCTTTATCCCGATTGAACAATCCGACGCTCATATACTACAATCTAAAGAATAACTCTAAGATATAAAACACTATACAATTGATTAAACAAAAATCTGTACGGATTTTTAAACACATTCACTCTTAACGAAAAGTTTTATCCTATCAAAAAATCAATAGTTGCGAACAGGAGAATTATAGATACATCGGATAATTGTTCGACTTTATCTAATACAATAAAATCAACTACACACAGTAGTTTCGATCTAGATCCAATAATAGTCGAATATATTTAAGTCAATAAATAGTAAATTTATAGCGTCGTGTTTGACATTTTTAAGAATTTAAGAAGTAGATAAGAACAATACATTTGAGAACTTGTTGGAAGTGAAATTGTTGAACGATTCGGTAGCTAAATGGACACACCTAGTGTGAAACATTGGGTGGAGTGTACATGCTACACGCACATAAACTAAATGACGGAGAATGCAGGATGTAAGATTATAAGCCGTTTAAAATATTTAAACGTATCAGCGACGTATTTCAATCCAAGCAGTCGACGTGCATTTAATTATAAATAACATAACAACACTAAGCTTACCTGAAAAACACTGCAATGCGTCGCTATTTTACTTACAGACAAACACATCTAAACGTCTTAAACACAAGTCAAATGCGTAGAGCAGACAAACTACGGTGTGTTCCATTGATTACGTTCAGACTCATCTGGTTGAAACCAGTCGATCCGACAGCCAACCGTTTCCCCCCAACGTCCAAAACACGATACGTACGAGCGAAAGTTATTTTCACCCGGAGAAATACAAAATGCAGATATACAGCCAACAATATGGCGGACTAGCAGTCGGTACCACACAGAGATGCGGCACAGCAAGAGTTATACAAATGACAAACGTCCAAAGAATCTTACCTGTCTACGATGGGGATTAACTAACTAGGACGTTCGCAATACGCTGCATCTTTCTTCTCTTCCCAATTTACATACTTATGTAGTTATGTAGATTAGGGAGTTAACCACCGCATATTTTTTCTTTTTTTTATCCCTCTTGCTACATTTGCTACAGGTGTCCGGTCGGCGATTGATCACAGGTTATAGAAAGACGATTATCCCAGGCAGTCGCTGGCTTAAATGTTTTGTCCGCGGTACCGTCTGTCCGACTGATTCACAGTTCGGTTTGCTGAGAAATAGCATGGTTGCTAGGTTACAGAAACTGTACGTACAATTATAATAAAAGAGTAAACAGAATTTAACATGTTGTGAATGGCCGTCTTGTGTGTGTGTGTGTTGTATGTGTGTGTGTCTGTGTGTGTATATATATTTATATATAGAGAGTTAACTGCTTTGTTTACTTAGATTTAATAATTATATATACATACAGTTAATAAATACTGTTATAGAATTTCGAAAAAATCTAGTAATAATCTTCCGGTAACAGTCGTACACTTAATCGTTTGGGAGAGGCTTTAAAATTAAATAAATTGCAGTAGAACTATATATTTTTAGAAAGCAAAAAGAAATGGGTAGTTAAACTTTTATTAACCGTTTAGAAAAAAAATGAAAGGGAATGTTTTATTTTTAATATTTTCAAGAACGCCTGGTAAAGAGATTTTACAATAAAGCAGAGTAGTCGTGCGGAGAAGTTGCACAGGATGATACTCATAAAAAAAATTAGGAAAAATTAAGTTTATCATGATAAGTTTAAAAGCTAAATAAGATTAGGGTTTTATTTCGGTTATTTTGTTTTTAAAAGGATAATGGGACTATGCATCTGTTTTAGTGAGCTCTTAACAACTAAGATAAATAAAGATTAGCATCTGATAAAAGAATTAATGTTATTATTTATTGATCACTTTTTCTTTCTTTCTTTAACCACAAGGCATGACATTTAAGAGAATGTCGGGTTTTTCGTTCAAATCATGGATTATTAATAATTAATTTGCAGATAAAGGGAAAGTCTATTAGCAAATGTCTCGATAAGATTTATTTCTGTAAATTAATCAATTAATTTTTATTGAATTTTGAATAAATGCGATTGCAATATTCGTCATCCATTAACGAAAAAATTGAGAATAAATGAAAACTTCCCATTTAATTATTTGCGATTTTTTTAAGTCGAAGTTTAAAAATTCTGTATAAATTAAAAAAAAACACAAACTTTTTTCTTCTGTGTGGTAATATTTTTGGCTGAATTATCCAATTATCCACTGCAGTCCGATACGCTTTACCCACTTACCTCTATTTCTAGTTGGGCTGGTCTCTGTCTGTAAATTCACACCTCCCTTGACTTTCCAATCTACCTGACCCTTTGATCACGTGACATAGTAGTTTGTCTATGGATGTGTAGAATCCTCTATCGTCCCTGATACTCACTCCTGCCTCTTTGTGCCTGTTGTGAAGTAGTGCAGCCGAGTGCCGCCTCTGACGTATGGCGCTACCGTCTCCATACTGGAAGCTGTCTAATGGTTGATGTAGGTGTATATGTCCTGGATGACATAAATAAACAAGAATTTGAGAATTTCATAAAAAAAAATGTATATATAAGAAAAAATTGTTTGGCGAAGCCAGCGCCCAGCTTGTTTATCTTTGGAATTTTAACACATCGGAGTGCCTAATAATTTGATCAAAATCTTAGGAAGAAGCGCGAAAAAATCGCTAGCTGCACATCACATCATATCGACAACCGTCTCGGAATGGGTTATTGGATCCTGCTGTGACGGCAAGGCATTCTGGGACAAATTACTCCCTTCTGACCGACTAATGTTGGTAGAAATTTTTAAAGAAAAATAATTTAATCCAGAAAATTGAAGTGTTTTTAAATATGATTTAGTCTTTTAAATGTGGAAAAACTGGAGTAAATTTAATATTAGATGTTATACTAGCCTTTAAAATATCTCAACTGCATAGAAATCTTAGACAAAGTTTAGAAATTGATTCTCGCCTTCCAGCTGTTTTATTATATAGATCTTCCTATTTTCTGTTTTTCCTCATTTCGTTTATTAACTTACAAACGAATTTTCGTTCTGTTTATTTTAAATATATTACAGTATTATTATTATTATTATTATTTTAATAATCTTAATTTATAGAATAGAAAAATAAGGATTGATATAAAATGTGGAAATGACAATAAAAGATTTATTTCCGTTGGAAGTTATATTCATTTCGCAATTATCTAGCGGAAATTCTGTACTATATTCCAATTTCCGAATGTGTAAAGAAAAGAAGTAATGGATGAAAAGTAGGCTTTTTAACGGATTAAGTTTCTCTTACAAGTTAGTTGTATGACTCTAGTTTTGTATTCCTTCTAAAGCACAGACAAAATAAGGACTTTTATGTTTGTTCCTGTTTTGTCTTTAATCTGCTTGGAAGCGAAGCAGGACATTGTTCTCTCTTCTTCTTTCCCTCCCCCAAAATAAAATAAAATAGATCTGTGAATGTAGATTTCTAACCTGTAGATGCGAATTGTATATTTAACCAAAAAAAAAGTACAATTATTGTATTAAAAGTAGACTTAAATTCTAGTAAAACAGAGTTGAATTTTTTTTAACACAACCAATTAGTCAGTTCTTCCTTTCGAAATTTAATTTATTTTTTATTATTATTGTTATTCCTTTTGTAAACTGTATAGAACATTTCAATATTTCATAACTTTTCTAGTATTGCAAATAATTTTCGGATGTATTGACAGAAAGCACACACGGTGGATTATAAAATGACTCCTCGGGGATCGCTACATACCTGAGAAGGGATGGAAGATTTATTCTCCGAGAAGAAGGAAATTCTCTATAGTGTTTGGACTTCGTACTGAGGTAGGGGAAAAAATCTATTTTCAGTTAAGAATTCTTCAATCATAATATCAAGCAGCATATATATGTTCGTAATTTATTTATTTTAAATGGCAAAAATTAAAAAAAAAAAAAAACGATTAAAGAAATGTGGCCGAGCGAGAAGTTAGTTCTTATAAACAGTACACGTGACCGGTTGTTAACCTCTGAACTTCACAGATATTTTTTTATTGGACAAAATACACAGATGACAATTTGCGCTTCTCTAACGTCGATAACGACAAAATTGTTAAAGCGGACAATCGATATTTTCCCATTAATGTTACTAAATAACAGTTATGTGTTATTTGACGGCAGATAATTTTATTTTACGAAATAATATAATTCATCGGAGTTATATTGAAAATATTATTTGTATAATTTCGCTTCGTGGTTAATTTTCCAAAATATATATGTATATTTTTTGATAAGAATAAAATCCTTAAAACTTAATGTCAAAAATAAAATCTATACCTTGGCTCTATTAAAAAGATAAGTATTATATTAAGATAAGTAGAAAAAATCGTTGACAGACATTGATTAATGGAGAGTGAGATTTTCCATTATATACATATAGAGTATGTAAGATTAATACTTCAAACTTTCGATAATAAATTGAATAATTTATACATATATAATATCGGGAAAAAAATGTTTAAACTATTAACAAAACGAGCATTATCGAATATTTAGTATTACCGTACGAAATACTCCCGATCATTAATTTAAAAAAAAAAAATTGGGATCATTGCTTAGTTGATTGCTGGAAAAAAGAAGAAAAGTTAGATTTTTCAATAATCTACTGGATCGATTAGTTATTTTGTATGTCGACTTCGTTGTCTGCGTTTTAAACAAAGTAAGTAGGTACTAAGTAATTGGAATAGGATGTTGTAATTGCATTAAACTGAAGCCGAGTTGTCTCCTCTTGAAATCATCAAGACGCACTTTCAACCAGACAGTGTCAGCTCTTGCATATTCTAATCTCTTTTCCTAATGTCATGCAAATTGACTGATGGAAAATGTCGAATTATAGAAATAATCCTATTGTAACTTTTTTCTTTTTTTCTTTTCTCTTCTGTTTCCAAAGTTTGTAATCGTTTGAAATACAAATTTTTAAACTATTATCGAATTTGATGATTGCTTTTTTATGCTTATTCTTCATTATTTAACAATAATTTAGCTTGTCTAGTGTTTCCCAATGTAAGTTATTTAATGTATTAATGGTCTTTTTTTCTAGTAGCGGTGTTAGGTATAGGTCTCATGCTTTTAAGGGCTTCAGATATAAGCTTGTTCACACTCTTCTTGATCCTAAACATCGTGTGATGTAGACTTCACAGTATACAATATATACTTTTATAAAAAAGGGCTTCGCAAGTGCGTGCTCTTCTAGGGCTTCGTGCAAACTAAACCCGCTACTAATTGTCGACCCTTTAACCGACCGTAGGGTATTCATGGTTCATAATCCCCATTGGGAAACACTATATTAACCGATAGAATTTTGTTTTTAATTTTTCGAATTATTAAAACTGTGGAAGTGGATTAAATTTATGCTCGGAAGATAAATATGTAAAAATAATTTTAAATGTTAGGTCACCGGCGATAAAATGTTTCTCGAATATTTTTCTTTATGAATTAAAAAAAAAGTTCAAACCGATAATAAGATTTCGTTGTTAATTTTCAGAAATAATTAACATTATTAAATAAAATGTTTTTCATAATTAAATTGATTTTAATAAAATCAAAAAATAAACATATATTAAATTAGCTAAACTGCTATAATTAAACAAAATATAAAAAAAAATTATTTTAAAAAAAATCAATATTTTCGTTGTTTTAATTTACATCGCCATCTACCGAAAAAAATTCAAAACACGTGATAAAATTTCATTATACTTTTTTTGTTTGTTTTTTTTTTACTATTTTTCCCTCCATTTTCCTTATTTTATTTTCTCTTTTCTCTTTTTTTTTTTAAATTCTGTACACGATTAAGCAATATTTCTACATCAGAGCAATGAAAATAAAACGGCATAAACATTAAAAGGACGGAGAATGGTCCTCGGTGCACCTTGGGTAATATAAAAGAGATATGACGTCATTGAGGCGGGAAAAAGGCAACTTGGTGTGCTGACGACACTGGTACGTCATCACGGTACAACTATCGCCATCTAGAAGCGAATCCGAAACCGAACGGATAGAAAATTAATCTAGTAATTATTAATACTATTAATACTAATAATTGACTAATATCGTTAAAACATTTTAAAAATGTATTTGCAATTATTCGTAATTTTTTCTCGACATTAGAAAGTTTTTTTAGTCTAATTTTAAGAAAAATGTATTTATAAGAGCAATTTTTACTCGGGAATTAATAAATCAATAAAAATAACTCATGGAAATGTATACCGTGAAAACATACCAAGTTTATATATATATATTTTATATATATACACACACACGCACACACACAGATATATATTTATATGTATAAGGCAGCCTCGTGCGCACCGTGACGTCACTGCTAAGATATCTAATCGACACAGATATGTAGAATTGTATATCGATAATATATTTTTCTTTTTCGCTCCGAAAGAGAGAGAGAGAGATAGAGAGAGAGATAGATAGATAGAGGAAAAAACAACCGTTCATAAACCCTCCACAGGTGGGTTGCCATTAGTACATGTGCTCGATGGTCTCCTAGATTGAGGCTTGACGTCAGATGACGCCGGAGCCTGACGCTCCGTCGAGCGAACTATTGCTATATTAGCCGCTAGAGGAGCTATAGCCGATGGATGTGGCAGTGCTGTAGTCATTGGATAGGGCGACACCGATGACGGAACTCGAACCACAGCGGCCATGGCGTTCATCCCGTTGACGCTTCCTAAAAATAAACATGATTAGAAATCAGTAAGGTATATGAAGTTAAAAAAATTAAAATCTCTATTAAAAATTTTTAATTAAATTTTAGAAACACTCATTTATATATATATATATTAATTTTGTTCGTTGATAGAAATATAAAATTTTGTTTTTCTCTCAACAGATGGCTCTTTACACGAAATATTCACACACACACACATGCCATAAATGTAATACATATTTATAATATTTATTAAAAGTACAATTTTTCTGTTTATAAAAACTTTTTCCTTGCCGATATTTTAAAAATAAAACTGCATTATTTAAAAGTTTTAAAGTAGTTGGCTTAAAAATTGAGATTTTTTTTTAATCAACAGATGGTGCCACTAATGGGAAAGCAAGAACGAAATGAAATTTGCATAATCTATTTATTTTTGAATAATAAAGTATGAAAAAAAAGAGGTAAAAATCTTAATATATTTATCTCATATACAAATATTTTTTAAAAATTTAACTATAAATATACATAAAACATATTTGAACACATGAAAAATATTTAAAATAATCTAAACATACAGTAAAAAAAATAATATTAAATATTTATATATACTCAAAACTGTATTAATTAAAAAGAAAGAACTTGAAAAATAACATTAACATTATTTTAAAATTTTTATAAGCTTAAAAATATCTAAAATTTTCCATATAAAAATGTAATAATTTGCAAAACTATAAAAACTAACATAAACTATCTTAAATTATACTTTAACAGACGTTAATAATTACAGAATTTATTGACGTTTCCTAACCAGTTTCTAGTTACGTAACAAGGCTAATGATAAGTTTTATCTCGAGTCATTAACCCAAAAAATATTATTATCCCTCGCTATCTCTCTACAGTTTCGATAATGAAAGTGTAAAATATACAGATTTGAAGATATGTGTACCGTACATTTTATCATATATATAGAAAGATAAAAAAAAAGAAAAAGAAAAAGAAAGAAAATCTTACAAATTTGCATTGAAAATATTTATATAATTCTGAGAGAATCTAAAGTTTAAATTGTCAGAATTAATTTAATTGATAAAACTCGTGAATGATTTTTAATGAGAATTCGAGTTATGCTGGAAATTTTGGCATTCTGAATACAAATCTGTAATCTGTTTTATAGTTTTGGGTTTATTAGTAAAGTCAACCTTGTTTTTCCAATATAATAAATTCATTTAATTGGGTTAAGTATCATAAAGTAATAATCCCATTTTCCAAAAATTAGGACACCATAAACTGCATTACAAATAAATTAAAGGTAATAACGCAGTTATTCATCCGTGCCTTAAGACTTTAGAAGATATCTAAATATTTATCTAATATGTTCATTTTAGTGTTTTATTTTAAAAAATAAAAATAAAATTTGACATTTCAGTTTGTAGACTTTGATTCGATAAGTCCATTAACTGAACGAATAATTGTATGAGGAAATTTCATGATCTAACGAAAAATTTAAATAGAATTATTACTCTTTATTACATAATTATATTTTAAAGATGTAATTATATGTTGAAGATAAGCTACATTGTACATTTAATTATATACAAAAAAAAAAAAAAGATATTACAAATAGATTTCTGTCAATCTTTCTTAATAATTGTTATTATTAGGCCTATACAAAATTTTACCGCGAAACATTTAGAACGTTTACATAAACCAGTGGTGTCCGAACTTTTCGATTGGTGGGTCAAATTGTTTATAAGTCGTAGGTAGGTGGGCCACATATAGCTGTATATTCCATAGGCCTATTTCTATCATTTATAACTAGTGTCAAATATGTTTGCCGGGCGGATTTGGCCCGGGATCTTTGTTTGGCACCACTGATGTAAACAATACAAATTAAATATTGTCATACAGGTTTCTTAAATATACAATTAAACAAGCGTTCTCGAGTGAAAATCGTACCGGGAATAAATGAAAATGATCTATGATTCTTTCTTTCTTTTCCGCTGATTGAAAATACATATATTTAGTAATATACAGTATATATCGCTATTATCGTCATTTTGACATTGCCGAAATTGAAATCTATAAAATATTATGTAATCTAACAGAAAACGTCATCGGTTTTTAAGAAAATTAAATGGATTAAATGACTATTCGAATTGTAAACTATCTATTTTTAATGAATAAATATAAGAAATAAACCATAAAAACATATTATTTTCCCCTAACTCATTCTGCCAGATGAAGCAACAAGTTTTCAGTTTTTAGATATAAAAGAAATTTATTCCATGCATTTTGTTGTAATAGAGTGGTTCCATTTCATTTTTATTTTTATTTTTGAAAATGTAAAAGTGAAAAAAAAATATATATATATATATCTTTGGAAAAAAATACTATAATGAGAAGTCTAACTTAAGATATAGGCCTATATATATATATACATATATACAAGTAATATATTAAGATATACAGGTAACCCCCGTATAACACGGTAGTTAAGTTCCAAAAAATTGCCGTGTTATGCGAATTTGTGTTATACGAAACAAAGAACTAGTACGAAAAGGAGGGTTAGGTTCCAAAAATTAAAAAACATGCTATTATATTTTCATAATTAAGATAAATATCTTTATTAAAATTTTCTTAAGTGATACATAATAATATAAATTAAACGATGTTTTCTTCGTAATCACTAAAAGCACTATTAACCGAGAGCGTTTTCTTTTTGGAAAGTTATCCTTATCCTCTGAGTATTTTTCTGCATTATCTTCAGATCCATGCTTTACCTTTTGCAAAAAGTATGTAATTTTAGATTGCTTGCTTCTAGTTAAAAGGTCTTTATAAATT